AAGCTTCCAGCAGTTTTTCACAGAAGGCAGCCCTGTAAGCGGGGGCCGCTACCAAACAAGATTCTTTTGGTTTTCTTACAATGAAAGGATATGACATCTAGAGGAAACTGTAGGAGGTTGCATTTTGCTTGAAATTAAACTTTATTGAAGTTCATAGAATACTGTACCAAATAAGGTATATTTAGGATTGAGGCCAGAGTATAAGCTGATAGAAGCAGGAAACAAGTCTTATCCTGATCAGTACTAATTAATCGAATGCAGACACCAGGAAATTGAAACAAGTAGTAGTAAACTTACTCTCTCAGGGAGGGCTTTGTATATACAGTGTCATTTTAAATATTTCATGCATCACTTCAGAATGCTTTTGTCTGAATCATTAAAATCATTGATTGAGTGATCGATGGGTGGTGTTTTTCTTCTGTTTGCTTTTTTTCTTAAATTAAATGCTAAGCATCAGGTCAGGAAACGGTGTGGTTTTAATAATACTCCTGCTGGTATATATGTAGGGGTGAGAGTTGCTTTCATTTTCTTTTTGCTTTTGATGGGAGGTGACTCCACTGTTAGAATCTTGAACACTGGTCAGCCACTTATGTCTTGGAAGTATGTACACAACTGAGAAATTTTTCAGCCTTTTTCTGAGAATAATTGTAAGCTTATTAAATTGAACTGCTGGAATTGGTGGATTAATATGGTTTTCCCTCTCAAAAGCTTTCAGCTGACAGATGTTTCTGGAATAACTGAATTCTTGAATTTTATTTAAAATACATGAAAATTAAATAAAACTGTACTGAAACTTCCACTGGAGACTGCTCTGTTAATATTCGCTTCTGATTAATGTAAGGCAGTGATGTGAAGAGTTTGTGTAAACTCTTTAAGCAAAATGAGAGCTCCTGTTATTGCAGTTACTGGGTTTGGATTTGGTATTTAATTTTATGAAGTAGATAGCAGAGTAGAAGAGCAAAATACATGTTCTTCCAGATCACTTTGTTTAGAAGTAATTTAAATAGCGTATACTTTCTCTATATGTATCTTGAACCAGTAGGTAGTATATAGTTGCAACTAATATTGTGATTTTTCAGACTTTCTACAACTGAGGCAATTATTGAAGGCAAGAGTATTGTCCTCCATGAACTAACTGAACACAGTTATATTTAAATTGATGTAGCCTGGTAGCTATGTCAGTATACTCCCAGGTTTGCTTTATTAAAGTATTCTAGGACTGTAGTTCACATATATCCACAATACTATGACAAGATACATGTTTCTTCGGTGGAATCAGAATGAACAGTACTATTTGAGTATTCCAGTTGAAAGATGGACGGTAGTATTTAAGTAATTTGGGAAGTTTAATGGCATAATTTTTTTGAGAGTTCTGAGAATTGTTGGATCTGGGAAAACAGTTTTATTTTGATGGTGGTTTTTTTTTTTTTTTTGTCTTATGTACGTGACTCTCTGAAGTTTTCAAGAGTGTGCTTACTGATAGACTGTCAGACATTTAGCCAGGGGTATTTTGGGGCAGTAAAAGATGTATTGCCTCATTATTTTTTATTTTAAAGTAAGGTTGTGATGGACTACATGTGGGAAGGTGCAGGTCACAAAATACAAAGTTATAATGTTTTACCTTTATCCTAAATCTTGCTATGTATTGTAAAAATGAAAAGTCATTTGAAGGTGGCAAGTATTCGGTACATACTGTAGGGAATCAAGCAAATGGAACCATTGCCTATTTGGGTGTGGAATGGAGGTAAAGCCCTGTCATAGCCTCTGTACATTAAAAATATGCAGTGATGTATGGTTTAACTTCCACGTTGCTTCTCATGGTCACTTCCTAGTAGCTTTATGTTTGAGAAAGATCAGAGTGTAAAGTTTTTGCTGATTTAGCTGCTGTGAAGTATCTTTCTTTTTTTTGCTAAGAATATGATGATCAAAAGTAGTGATATGGCCAAAAAAATATAGGTACCCTGTGAATGTTGCTGTATGGATATGTAACATATATTCTGCTTTCTAGTATAGTCAACTGTAGTTATTGTTTCTTTTAGTTCTTCCTTTTCTGTGGAACGGAATATTATTTTGTCTTTTATTTTTCCTTAAGCAATGTTGTTCAAACTATGAATGTAATCATTACTGGGTTTCGTTTTTCTTTCTCTGTAAAAATTCATCTAGGAAGCAGACTTCTGTCTTCTGTTGCTCCTTTTCAACAACATTTAAAAGAAAAAATATTAAAAAAGCTTGAAATTACTTTTCAGACGTTTTAGTGATAGAAATAATTTCTAGGATATCACCAGGTATCACGTGTGCAAACAATCTGTAGCTCCCTTTCT